TGTTCAAGCCCAGTTTGGACACAGGGGCTTGGAGCAACCTGCTCTAGTGGAAGGTGTCCCTGCCTGTGGCAGGGGTTAGAGCTGGAGGAGATTTAAGGTCCTTTCCAACCCAAACCAGCCTATGAGTCTTTGCCCAGCTCTGTGTAAAACCTCAGGATTAGAGCAAGCAGCTGTTCCCAGGATGGCTTACCTCATGGTTCTGGGTACCATTTGCTGTTCTCTTACTGCCACTGGATCACCAGTGCACTGCATCCTTTCTGAAACCCTCCTTGGCTGCCTCCTTTTTCCTGAAAGCTGCTTTTAGGTGATTGCTGCAGCCGGATTTAACTACTGCCTATGGGCTGAATGATGTGTGTCTTCTTAGTAATCGTTTCCAGCTAGCTGCAGCACAGCAGCAAGGTAACTTCCTGAGTGAGCTGCTGATCTGCAGCACACAGAGTCCCACCCTGACCTGCACTGAGGAACAGGGAGGTGTTAGTGGGGTATGAGTGAAATCTTCTTGATTCTTGTAAAATGAAGCCTGGATTCTCTAGATTTGAAACTTTCTTTGACTAAGACCCATCTATGAAGCATGGAGGAGACAGGCACGGCCATTGACTCTCAGCAGGTAGGCAAACACAGGAGCTGTAGATGACAGGTCCCAAGCAAAGAGGACCCCAGATGGGTTGCAACAGCTCAAGCAGAATCAAATCTGAGAAATTAAACAAAATCCACTTTTTTTCTTCATTGTAGCACTGAAAATACATTAGAAATGCCAGCAGTGATTAGGATGAACCAGCCTTGGTTAACGGCTGTGTCAGCACGGGTGGGTTTTAACAGCGACTTTCCTCATCGGAGATCCAGGCTTGGACTTTGCGTGATTCTAAGTGTGGTTTTATGAGTCCCCTCTCCAGTCAGGAGGAAGTCATCAAACTGGGGAACACTGCAGTGAAAGCACATGGTCCTAATGGAAAATGTGAAAACACTCTGCTGTGCCAGGAAGGACCATAAAGTGATCAAATACCAGCTGGGCTGAGCGAGCTGGGTCTCTGCGGGACGGCCTGCCTGGAAATACGTGCGGTTGTAAACACGAGTGTTCGTTGCCAGTGCGTGTGTCACCCCCATCTCCTTGGTTTCCAGGGAATTATCAGTTGAGAGAGAGATCATGAGTTTCTTCAGTCTATTTTTACATTTGCTTAATGCCTTATCAAGCAAAAGGCAGCACTTAGGAGCATTAGTGCCATCAGTGCTCCTTGGGGTGGGCAGAGGAGACGTTAGTCCCAGGTTCTGGCAGTGTGGCAATACAATATTGGGTTTTTTTCCCTTTGCCACAAACTCCAGGAGTTACTGGAGTTACTTGCACCCATGCTCGGGCGTGCTGAAGTGTAAAGCAATATGCTGCAATTAGATCTTATCTGCTGAGTAACTGAGTGGCCTTCAGGTGGCTGGGTGCTGCTGCTGGTGACAGCGCTGGTGAATGACACATCCCTTGATAACCTCTTTCCCAAGACTTTTGAGATGACTTCTTTTGTCACAGCCACCCTCCAGCAAGCACGGGCTGAGATCAAACCTCTGCTTTAGCCAAGCACCCGCCTCCAGCGGGAAGCCCTTCAGGAGCCGCGTAAGCCCTTTAATTACCACCCCTCCATCTTTCTGCAGCTCCTGAAGGTGTGATGCCCGACTTGCTGGGTTCTGTGCACCACGTTAAAATAACGTCCTTATTTCTTTCCCCTGCTCCCCCGCTCCGCTCTGGCTGTGCCGGGCGTTCACAGAGGTCGTCAGCTCAGGCTCTGAGCGAAATCACGGCCAAAGTGCTGAGAACCATAAACGCCACGGAGAAAGCGGCCTGTGAGTTGTTGTATGGAGAGAGCCAGAGCAACGGTGGCCGTGTCCTCCCTGCAGGGCATCCTCCCAGCCTGGCAGATGGGAAAGAGGTGGCCGAAGCGTACCGTGAGCTTGAAGAAAATGTAAGGTTCTAAGGTTCATGAGAGGTTTCTGCAAGCAGGGAGGGCATCGGCGAGGAGGGGGTGGGACAACAGAGGAACCCCCCAACATTTCCTATTAGTGGGTAGGCCAGCAGTAAAAGAATGGGCACGACAGGGGAGTTAGAGTCCAGTCTTGCCTGACAGTGGCCAGGGCTCTCTTACAAGGGAGGTGGCACAACAGCAAGTGCAGATGCTCTGTGTTATTGCTTCCCTTGTCCCTCAGTTCCTGGTTTCCCCGGCTGAGTGCTGGGGAGGGAGGATGACTGTGGTCCTCACTTTGCTGTGGTGTTGCTTTGCTGGATTTCAGCAGCCCTGTGCTCCAGCTGCATCAGAATCTTCTGTCCTGCTTCTCTTTGGTTCCTCCCCAGCACTGCATTGCTGCGTTTCAAGGCTTTCACAAACAAGGATAGCATGTCCTACCTGTTTGCTAATGCTGACTTGCGCCTGGAGCTGATGGGCTGGTGCAGGTGATAAGTTTACATCCAGAGCACAATCTCCTGCTGGATTTGTGTGGCACTGAGGCACCAACAAACTTTTTAGCTATGGTAAAGCCATATGAATCAATTCCCTGTGGGAATGGATTGCATCTACAGTGCCATTTGCCAAGATCCAAAGAAACAGTTCAAGGATGGGGCAAAGAGTTGTATCTCCAGTTGGGTGGTTGGGTTTTGCTATCAGAAACATCCTGAGGAGCCAGGTTTTATAACACACTGTGGCTCATCTCTCATTGGGGAAAGCTTATACATAAAGGCAGTGAGCTGCTGGCAGCAGAGTGTTCTCAGAACTGCA